AACCTCATGTCTCTCAGCCCAGTGAGAGCACATCCGAGCCACACCACAGAAAATGCACCGGCAAGCAGCATGTGGGCAGACATGATCCATGCTTTAAGGACATAAGGACAAACACCACAGCGGCCTAGTGATCAGCTTTCCAAAGCCATAGCCTCTGGGGACAAGGCAAGAGGTTCTCTTTTTATTTGTACGTTGCTGTTCAAAGATCTTGACTCCAGTGACTCATCTTTTTCCGTGGAGGTAGCAGCATCCCTTTATTGCTGTCCATCTTCCAGCACAACTAGCTAAGAGGCAGTAAAAACCATGCTGCATCATTGTTTCTGGCTGCTGCCTCTTCCTAAGCCAGGAGTGCCCCCGAGCCCAGTTCCACTCTCTTTGTCAATGGGGAACAGTTTCCCCTGATAGGGATGTGTCCAGCGCTGCCACTGGTTAAGGACTGCAGCGTTAGTACTCTGTAGGGTGCTGAGGGACTCACCCCTGGTCTGTGTGCTTGCCCTCAGACTGCAGTGAGACATTTCTCGTGCGTGACCAAAGGCAAGAGGCAATAAGGTGGCAAACCTGAGGTAGGCATGTTGCTAGAGAGAACTAGAGTGCTTTCCATAGGAAGGGGCTGTACCCTCCTGGCCCTCCACACATTAGTACTGCAGTAACTTTCTGGGAGAGTGCGTGGAGAAGAATAAGGCTGCATCTCTACTGTTCCCTGCGCCCTGAAAACTAAATTTCCCATCTGCCTACACCCTGTCAGTCTTTGAATCATGCGCAGGGTCAGGGAGTAACCTCAGGATTGTCCTGTCCCTATACTGCTTTCCACTGTGCACGCTGAAGCCAAGTTCACCACCATGTATTCTGTAAGGCAGCATAGTTTGACCTGCTCCACCTTCCCAGCAGCCTGGGGTGCCCCACAGTGCAGCTTTCTCATCAGAAGCTGCAGGAAACAGCAGGTCCTGAAACCTTTCCATTTCCTGGGCTGCGAGATCCACATTAGTTCACAGCCAAGCCTGGATTCTCTGTATCGCCGAAAAATCCTGCACCAGACACTGGGGCATGTAGCCAGTGCCTCAAGTCACAGCACCCTGTGCTGGTGGTGAGAAGCAGAGAGCTGTCTGGGCTGCCGAGCTACAGTGCCTCGGCTTTTCCTGCCCTCTTGGCTTTCCCAGGCAGCATGTCCCGTTTCAAATTCCTGGCTGAGCACTGAGCCCAGGGCTGCCAGCAAGCCCAGATCTGCCCAGCAGCCAGCTAGCCTCAGAGCCCAGGACAGCAGCTACACACACATCCCGATGGGCCTTGCCACTGGCATGGATGTGCCTGACACGATTTGTCATTTGACAGCCGCGGCACCTGCACAGCCCCTGCCTCCCTGGCACAGCCGGCTCCCTGAGCAGCTGGCTTGGCCAGTTGCACCGTTCCTGGAGAGGCCCCTGGCAGAGCACGCTGCTGGCATGCGTGAACACATAGGTGCACCAGCAGAGAAGAGGAAGCCTGGGAAGTCTTTATCACCATACCAAATGTTTTGATGCATGGGAACCACAAACAACCCTTTCTCCAGACTACAGGGGGTGCAGGTTAGGGAAGGACAAGACAAAGCATGGTCCTATGTGAGTCAAGCTAAGCTGTTCCTCCCCTTGCCTAGCTCAGGCTGCAAGCATTCATCAGAAATGGTTCAGAGCAGGACAGGATATCTGGGGACAAATGCTCTTTGGGCACAGCCAACACAGGACAGGCAGGCTGGACTCCCAGCTTTGATGTATGCACTTCCCAGCCCAGCTGTTGCCCATCATCCCAGTGCTCACGTTGGCTTCTGTGCTGCTCTGAGGTGCACACAGTCCACTTCCCCTGGAGCTTTAGGCTCAGGCAGTTTTCCTTCTGGAGAGCTCCATTCATCAGGGAGAGGCAGGAAGGCACCTGCTGTATGTTGAAAGCCTCTGCCCATTCCAGTAGCACCCCTGGATGCCAGCAGCTGGCCCAGTTCCCTTGGGAAGCACCCCAGCACTATCACCTGGCCAACACCATGCTGTGTGGTGCTCATGCAGTGGACATTTCAAGTAGTGCTTGCCTTCAAGGAGAAGGCAAAGTGCTGCAGCTGCTGCTGGAAACATGATCCTTGAGTGCTGAAGCTGGAGTAGGGGAGTCCTCCCTTTGCTGAAGGGTTTATGGGGTAAGTGTGGCTCAGACAGGGCCATCCAGGCCGAGCACTCCCTGGGACAGTCCTTGGGAAACTGGCAAGGCAGCGTAGACACGATCAGTGACCCCAGGCTTCTTTAAAGGGCTGTCTTACCATCCTTCTCTATTGTCTGATTTTTGACTCCTGAAAGAGCTGGAATGAGGAGCCTTGACTCTTCATCGAATTATGTGAGCCATTGATCAGCAGAAGTGAAGTCTCATGTAGCTGTTGAAGTCACTATGTCTAAATTTGCAGGAAGGGTTGGTCTGTGGTCATGCTCCTTGCAGCTTCCCTTGCTGCTGTGGCCAGTGGTGCCCGCTGGCAGTGTGACCCTTTGGAAAACCAGGTGTGTGTGGGACCAACCCTTGTGGAGCAGCAGGCATGGCACTGCTGGTCTGCAGAGACCAGGGCATCTGCTCACTGATGGATCCTGGCTAAAGTCCTTCCAGTTGTTTCTTCTCATGTCTGCTATCATCCAAGAGAACTACACTCTGCAGTAATGCTGGGCTCAGGGTTTTCAAAGGCCAGCTGTCCCTCCACCCAGAAAGCATTGGTAATTTCTCACCAGCAGGTGCCCCTGAGCAGACCTCATGTGTTTTCTGACCCTTTGTCCATGCAGAACCTGTCCCAAAGTCATGTATGGAGCTCTTTAGTAGCTCTGTCCACAATAAAATTTTCTATGCCCTTTGCTAAATAGTTTCCTCCTTTTTTGCAGTCATTCATTTATCTGCCCGGCTGATGGCCCCGCAACTTTTCCCTGCGCTTCTGATGTCCCAGCTGGGCTTAGCACCTTAACCTGTGTGTGGGTGACAGCGGTCCCCTCTCCGTAGATCTCTATGGACTGCCTTCCTTGAGGGTAGGGGGTAGACCACCTTCTCCAGGAGGTACGTAACTCCAGCCTGGTTTCTGTGCTGCAGCAGGGTGAGCACCGCAGGGAGGAGGCCAGTCCGGCTGGGCACCATGCTGCAGGAAGGCTGCTGCGCCCTTTGCGGTGAGTGGAGCTGGGTCTCCTGGTCTGTCATACGTCCAGGGAAAGAAAGGTCTGGCATGTCCCAAGGTGGAAGGAAAGGGATGTCCTACACTGCTAGCAGTTTGCTGGGACATGACCCTCTCCAGGAGCACGGGGCTCACCCTCAGGTTCACCATTTACTTGTCCTCCCCTTCCCAGGCTGTGCTCACCTGCCTGTTGTCCTACTGAGAACGGCCCGTAAGCCCCAAATTCCCCTGCCATGCACACAGACACCCACCTGAGAAGGGTTTCTACGTCCAGAGTCCCTGACAACCAGTGCAGAGCCCCACATGCTGCTGGGCTGTACTGGTTCTGTCCTACCCTGCAGGCTTCCCTGCAAGGAGCAGGAGCCCATGCTTTTTATTGGAGGGCAACAGGATGCCCTGGGGATCTGGGAGGTAGGGAAGACATCCTTCTGCTGCCTTCAGCTGAGACATGGAACATTTTCTCCACTACATCAAGTGCTGGAGGAGGCAGAATAAATCAAGGCTGCAAAATGTGCAATGCATTGGGGCAGCTGGATGCTGAGCAAAGAGCCAAGCCCCAGCAGGACGGGCTCCCAGCACTGCCAGTGTTGGACTCTGATCTCCTGAACCTCATGGGTGGCAGGCAGGATTGTATGTGCTGCATGGCATTTGATTTTGGCTGGGTTTTGTCTTTTCACCACAACCATATTAAAGGAGGACTGTTGAAGATACATATTGGGTACCTAAGAGTGAAAATGGTGAGACTGAGATGGTTTTAGCTCCTGGAAGCACTGATCTCTGCTCCAGATCAGTTCCCAGCAAGGATGAACCTTTGCAAGTGCAGTTGAACATCTCAGCTGAGCTGCTTCATGCTGGGAGGGCCTTTTGCAGATGCCGCTTTGCGATATACATGTACCCTCAGGACCCTGGCTTTGGGTGCCGTGTGTGGTTTCCCACAAAGTCATGAAAGTTTTCCGTGGCAGGGAGCTGGCACCTTTCCAGGATGGTCACAGCAGCAGCAGGCACAGCCCAGGCTTGCCCCTTCCCCACCTCGTTTCTGTCCTTTTGGAACCCTAATGCTGATACTTGCGGGTTCAGGGGCCGAGGGCATTTCTGCTGCCCAGGCAAGGATCACAGCTGCTGTGCTGGGTGAGGAAGCTCCATAGCAGACCTGTGGCGGCAACCAAAAGGAAGGAGTCACATTAGGGCACCGCTGCAGAGGCCAGCGTGCAGGCAGAGCGGTCCTGGCCACCACACCAGGGGATTGCAGTGACTGCGAGCTAAGCCTTTGCTACAGCCCAAGGCCATCAGAGAGCTGGGTAAGGTGACAGCTAGAACTCCTGATGCCTTCAGCTCCCCATCGCTGCAGAAACATTGAGGTCTGGTGTCCCTGAGTACCTTCTCCAGCACTAAATAAAAGGTTTTTTTGCCAGGGCACGAAGTCGCCCATCAGCAGGAGGCAGCACCCTGGACTGGCCGTTCCCACCATGAGCCGCTTCGGCTTTTCATCAGGAGCAAGCAATGCGTTTGCAGAATGGTGACAGCTTTCTGGAGTCCTCTAAAGTCATAAATACCGGTCCCTGGCCACTTGCCAGCAGCTGTGCCAGGCCTCACAGCACGTTCCTCTCAGCATTGGCGTGGGACATATGCCCTGCTTGCTTTCATCTTCGGGCGTGACTCAAGTTTCTTAGTTTTCTCTTTGAAGTCAAGGGGACCTTCCTTTGGGAAATGATTTTTGGTGTCTGTTCCTGGGCTCTGTTTTTGCCACATCCTGAGAGCATCTCAAGGGGCTATCTTGAATTGCAGGGGGGAGAAGGAAGCTCCTGCCAGAGGAGGGTGCATTTTTCCCCTCCTCTCTGCCCTGTGCTGTGCATCGCAGCCCGGACCGCAGCTCGAGCAGCAGACCCGCCTCAGCTCTGCATGCTGCTGGCACACCTGGCACGCACACACACACGCTGCGATCACACCGCTCATCAGCCGCAGCTAAGCCCTGTTAATGCCTTGTGGACATGCTGTTGCTGGGGTTACCGTATACATATTGCACAACCTCCGAAACACTTCCCTCTGTTTTGTAGCAACTTGCGCTAGAGAAGCAGCGTTCCCGCATAACCTCATCCCACCCCAGATGCAGCCGAGCCAGTGACTCATTCCTGAAACAAGATGACTCTGGGGAGCCTGCAGTGCCCGGTCCCGAGGGAGGCGAGAGGCAAAGAGGACGGAGGGTGAGCGCAGAGGGTGCTCCGAGGTTATGCTTGTGCTCTTGTGCAAGCTCTGAGCTGCACCCTGGAGCAGTCACAGCACTCCAGGACTCAGTGAAGGTAGGGAGACAGGCATGGTCCTAGCAGGGACAAGCCCGGCATCTGAAGCCATGTCTCAGTGACTCTGAGCTGTGAGCTTCGGTGTGTCTTGGGTAGGCGCTGGAGTTATGCGGCTCATTAAGCTCCCCAGGGCAGGAGACAGCCTGGGAACATCCTGACCTTCACTGGAAATCACAAGAAGGGAAAGGTCCCTGGGGAGCTGAGCGCTGAGCCGTGTCCGTGTTCCTCCACCACATCACAAGACCTGTGCAACCTCCTCCTCAGCTCCTGCCCGCGCCACGGGCTCCGGACCAAGTCACAGCCTCCTCCTGGGCTTCCTTTTCCGGGCTGCATGAGGAACAGCGGGAGCCGGCCAAGGACCGTGCTCCGTCCCAACAGGGCTGTCATGGTGACCACAAATGCACAACAAACCCCAGCCCTTAGGAACCGAAACCTGACCTGCTCAACCTGACCCCGTGGGGCAACTCGCCAGCCCTGGCTTGGTGCCCCCTGTTCACCTCACTCTCCCCATGTGCCACCCCTTGGCTCTGCAGCCCCCGGGGCCGGCTGGAGCTCTGGCAGAAGAGCTGTGGACGTGCCCAGCCCCGGCTGGAGCTCCTGCCTGCTGCCAGCTTGGTGAATCTGGGCCCTTGTGCTGCCTGCTGCTGCCAAGCCCTGCCAGAGCTGCTGCAGGCTGGATGCTCCAGCCGGCATTACCTGGGCTCCTCTTCTGGAGCTGTCAGCTGGAAGCAGAGCCAAAGACACCTGCTTTGGTGGGGAGTTGCAGGGCAAGCTAAGGACAAGGCTGAACCTTCAGCAAGACTTGACCACCCTCCTCAATATGGCAGCCCCAATTATTGCTCCCTCCGTAAAGCAGAGAGCAGGCGAGCAGCTCTTCCTCACTTTCTGTGGGGTGGGATGACAGCCCTAGGTGCTTGCAGGCCTGGGTGGAGGCTGGTTTAAATTCCCACTTCACAGCCAGCCACTGTAACCTCTGAGCCTCTGCACTTTGGGACCTGCTTTTATATTTGATGAAGAGCTGGAAGCATGCGTGTTCAGGACAGAGTCCTCCTGGTGCCACCTCCTCCGTGCAGTGCCCAGGCTCTCTGGCCGTATCTGAGCTCTACCAGGACAAGCCAGACAGAGAAGAAACGCTCGTTGGTGAGGTCTGCCCGGACTCTGGCATCAGGCTGGTCCAGCCCTATTAGATGAGCCTCCACACCTCTCCTGCTCACCCTTGACTGTCCCCTCCGGGATGTTCTTGCCACCTGGCAGCCATGGGTTGACACCCTGCCTCTGGCTGGGCTGTGACACAGCAGCTCCTGCCAATGGAGGGGTCACAAGGCTGGTAGGGGGACATGACAAAGCGTGGTCCTTCGTGTGGCTGTGACCATCTGGGGCTACCCAAAGCGGCTAAGTGCTGTGGCATGGCTGCATCCCCTGACCTCCGAGGCAGGAGGTCTCCTCGTTAGTGATCCCAAATCACAGCCTTGCAGAGTTGGCTGGTGGTCACCTCTGGAGGTCTCCAGACCCTGCTCCAAGCCAGGACCAGTATGAGGGGGTTGCTCAGGGTTTTGTCCAGTCAAGAGCTGGCAGCAAGGTCCCAGCAGAGAAGACGTGCCCCTCAGCCAAGAGGGGGAGATTGTCACAGGGGCCGTGCCCCAAAGCTCTGGGCGCAAGAGCAGAACTGATACCCCTGGGGCAGCTCAGCCATGGGGACACCCATGTTTGTCCTTGCCCTGCAGCTCCTCTGCGCAGGGACCAGGACAGACAGAGGCCACAGGGTGCCAAAGGCTGCCTGTGTTGTTGGAGCTGCTGCCCAGGTCCCCAAACTGCTGATTTACTTGGAGGACCCTACATGGCAGCAGCAAAACGCACGCTGCGTCCCCTCGGTGCGAACAACTCCTGGTGATGCTGCAGCTGGCCGTGCACCCGGAGCGAGGCCAAGGAGTGCCAGGGGAGCGCCAAGGTCAGAGCGGGCTCTGGGTGAACAGCTGAGGTGGGGCCGTGAGTAAGTGATGTGGGTTGTGTCAGGACTCCATGGCAACGACAATATTTGGGTGCTGCTTCAGCCCGCAGCATCTGCCGGGAGCCCCACGTGTGGTCAGGCTCCAGGTGTGGGAAGCCAGCAGCCATGATGGGCAGCACTGGCATGTGGCTGGCTGCCCCCAAGGTCGCTCCACTGGTGTCCTACTGGGATGCGCAGACGGGACAGGCGCTCGCCGCAATGCCCAGCGTGCCAGGATGGTTGGCATTCGCCCCCACAGCCTGGGCAAGTGGCCTTTGGTCCCTGGTGCCCTCCCTGGTGGAGGGGCACGCTGGCCGTGTGGCTCAGGGGACAGGGCTGTGGGGCAGAGCACGGGGGCGGCTGCCAGGGGGAAGCCTGCGGCAGCCAGGTGGTGGAGGAACCTCGTGGGGTGATGGAGGGGCCTTGTGGGGTGGCGGAAAGACCTTGTGGGGTGGTGGAGCGGCTTCGTGGGGTGCCGGTAGGGCTTCGTGGGGTTGTGGAGGGGCTGCATGTGGTGATGGAGGGGCTTCGCGGGGTGGCGGAGGCTGTCCCAGAGGCAGGCCCGGGGGGGGGGCCCCCGGGGCCGCCGCCCCCCCCCCGCGGGGCGCGC